TTTGGAATTGAAAGTACAATGCAGTTAGTATGATGCGTCGAGCCCGGTGCATGCAAAACAGATGAATGAATGCAAACATTCTGTCATACTGTATGCTAATTGAAACATGCCCTAATCTAACCATCATAAGCGGGTAAATAAAAGGGAAAAAGACGTGGGGTTGGAAGACATACAACACACACACACACACACTTATTACAGTTGTGCCCTCGCGAAGAGGGTCCGAATAAATAGTACAGTCCAAATAATACAGTCCAAATAGGACAGCCCAAATATATACAAATTCCTAATTAATTTAGAAATTAACTAAGAAAGCTGTAAACTGGCATGCAAGCCAGGGACTGCCTTGACTCTTCTTCGGATGATGAATGATACATGTCTGGGCTGCCTTGCGCGGAAATCCACTGGGATGCCCCAATTAGCCTCTGTTTTGCAATTATTCTTGGAAAGAGCGCTAAGCTCCAGAAGGTTGCTAGTTCTTGATTTGCTGCAACAGAGAGCAGGAAAGGGGCATAGCAGTGTATTTTCACAAATGTATGCATGCCTCAATCCTCGTGCCACCAATCACGCATCTCGATGCATGATGGCCGAGGAGTCGATTTGCATTACTCAATATAGAATGAATGCACATAAAAACTCAACTAAAACCTAACTCCATCATGGATAATCCGGAGTGTCGGTGACTGGGAATTAAGACACGTTCCGTCACTCGGAGTACGAAACGTACCTTGTTTCCCGTGCTCGGGCTAACTCCTATCCCAAGCACCATGCAATATGCATGATATGCATGAAATGCAACTAATATACAACCTAGCATACAGAATGCTATGAAATGGCATACACGATGCACAAGATAACATGGTATACACAATGCGCTAACATACGGCCTAGCATACACAATGCTATGAAATGAAATGGCATACGCAATGCAATAAATGGACTTACACTAACACAAGTGGACCTTAGCCATGCTCGCATAAGAGGCCATGAGATGAAAATGAGACACTCGAGATGCGTACATGCATACACGCAAACCGAGGACCGACCCTA